GTGGTCCCCGAGCCTCCCTCCATCTGTCRGCCCTGGCCACACGCACGGATCCTTCCAGGCAGAGTCCTGGGCCGGGTCCCGGGGCAGGGGCTCTGCGTCCTTCTTTCTGTTCCCAGCACCTGTGGCTCTCTGGTGACCTCCACGACGTGTTGGGTGCCCCCCCCCCCAGCACCGTGTGGGAGACGCGGAAGGGACRGTGCAAGAGAGCTGGCAAAGAGATGCCCTCGATACTCCTGGGACCGAGGGGAAGGAGGCCTCCCGCCCCCTGCTCTGTCCAGGAAGGCCCAGGGGCTGGGAGGAGTCAGGGAGGGACTCAGAACAGTGTCCCTCAGCTTGTCGGTGGGTGTCCCCAGGAACAGGCCGCGGTTCTCTTTCAAGTTCACCGGGACATTCGCTCCCCACAGTGAGGCCCACAGACGGCTGGGCAGGTGAGGTGGTGCGGGTAGCCACATGCCCGCCTGGGACCCTGGCAGCCAGGGCCGGCTGGCCAAGGCTCCGCAGCCTGCTCTCAGGGTCGACGCGCCCCAGGAAACCAGGGTGCAAAGCGGCCCGCGACCCAGGCCCCTGCTGCCAGTGTCCGTGGGTAGATACGGCCACGGTGCTGCCGCTCAGGAAGGGAGGGACACCCAGCCCTGCAGACATGACAGAGGCCCACGTCCCCAGAGCACCGAGACCGTGAACCCAGCAGAATAATCAGGAAGCGATGTCCCCAGTGTCGGCCACCCTGGCGTCTATTAGAGCTGAATTAATCACACGCTTATATAATTTCACTTTTAATCGCGGCCACGTTTGACGACGGCTCCCCAAGCCCCCGGMATCTGAGGGTCAGCTCTTGGCTGCGTAGGAAGGACCCCGAGCCCTCGGGACGCGGCTCGCGCAGGTCTGCGTTTCCTAAACAGGCGACTTGATTTAAAGTCAATTAAAAACGGATTAAGTAAACAGTTCCGGGGAGGCGCGTCTCCAGGCGCGAGGACGAGGATTTGGGAAATAAACGCTGCTTTATGGAAATGACTGCGATTAGCGACTGTCCTGGGGGCGCCGTAAAATAAATGGGACGCTCCAGGAGAGGGAGCAGGGAGCGGAATTAATTAACCACGGAAGGGAAGGTGCTCAGCCACCAGCGTCCCAGGGAGCGGGCCCAGAGGGCGCAGGGACCAGCTGCCACCACGCCACCTCCACGTGGCGGGCACGGGTGGGCAGGGCCATTAAACGGCCACCCCCCCCCATCCTCGCTGGAACTTGATGGCAGGAAACGATTCAAGAGGCACAGACCAGGAGAAGCCGTCTCGCTGGCTCCCGCCCCCCAGGCTGCTGTCCCCAGCCCCGCCACCGGTACTTGTCATAGCAAAACAGAAGTCAAACCAAACCTCCACCGAGCCTTAGCCCCACTCTGCGGCAGGGAAATGGCTCAATTAATGCTGCTCACGGGCCTCGTCGCGGCTGAAGCGATATTTAGAGAGATTAAGTGAATCCACAGGACAATGGCCGGTGGGACGGACGCTCGCTGAGAAAACCGAGGCGCAGAATCGCAGGCGCACGGTGGTCAGCCACCGGGGAGGGCAGAGCCCCCGGGTGGCCGTGGCTGTGGCCACGGGTGGACTCGGGGGCTGGGCTTCTCCTCGTCATTCTGAGCCCCGTGATGAGGATGGTCCGTGTCCTCTGCAGGCCGCCGCACACTGGGCCCTACTCTGAGCTCAGGATCCTCCTGCAGGTGACTCTGTCGGTGCCTGTTTTACAGACAGGAGCACTGAGGCCCGGGGACGTTCAACAGGGTGCCCAGGTCCCCATGCACCAGGACCTTGGGCAGGAGCTGGCCGCTCTGTTGGAGGGTGGCCAGGAGTAAAATTGGTGTGAAATGAGCCCGGGTGTGGCACGGCTAACTGCATGCCCRGGGGTCCTCGGGCAGGTGCCTTGCCCAGGAAGGAAGTAGGTGGACAGATGGGCATCGGCTGGTGCCTCAGCCAAGGCTCTGAGGGCCAGGAAGGACCTTCCCCGCKGGGCCAGGGAAGAGAGAGACCCCAAAGGAGCAGAGCCCACCCTGCAGCCGGCCCGGCACCTCCTCCCCCGACTGGTGGCTGGCGGCCCTCAAATGGCCGGGCCAGGGGGTGCCAGGCTGCTTCAGTGGCCACTGGACCCGAGCAGAGAGGGCCTGACATGCCAACGCCTAGGAACCGACTTCCCGTCCCCTGGGGACACTTGGGTCCTGCCCCGGGGTGAGTGAGCCCCGGCGGGAATCCAGTCCCCTTGCAGCTGATCCYGCAGGTGACTAAGCCGCCCGCTTGGCCTCAGTTTATCCTCCATAAAACGGAGCTCGGGGTGTCCAGCCRCAGAGCTGCCCTGGCTACTCTTCACTGTCCTGCGCGCCAGGCTGGGCAGAAGGCACTCGCCCACTCTGCATCTGGTTCCTGGGTGCCCACCATGTGCCAGCTGCTGCCCTGGTGTGGGGGACCCCAGCGCTGGCCCCTCCCTCCCGGCTGCCCCCCGGCCCTCCGCGTAGCGTCACCATTTACTCCTGGCACAAGGCCGAGAAGCCCGGCACAGACCCAGCCCCTGAGGACATGGCCCGTCCCTTCTCCTGGACAGTGAATCCTGAACATCCTGCTGGGGCCTTCTGCCAACCGGGACTCAAGGCCTGGGCAGGGTCCTTGGGCTGGGTGGCTCAGGGCCGTTTCTGACTCCTGTGGTGTGACTAGTGAGAGCCGCTTTGCAGAGCCCTGGACGCCCCTGGACCCCGCCCGTGGTGCCTCCTCCAGGAAGCCCTCCCTGGAGCCAGCCCTCCTGGGTGCCGGGTGCCGGGGAGGCTTTAGGGTGAACAGGAGCTCCCCAGGGTGATGTGGAAGGCCTGACGGGCCCAGCACTGATGGAGAGCAGGGACGTGGGGCTGGAGGGGGGGTGTTTCCGTGAGGTGGGAGGAGGCTCTGGGGGAGTGGGCAGGAGCCGGGGCACAGGGCTTGGGCCAGGCGTGGCCCTGGGAGACCTGGGCTCAAGCCCACGATTTACTGTGTGTCCCTGAGCAAGCCGCTCACCCTCTCTGGGCCCGCAGCCCGTGTTCGCTCATCTGTGGAAGCCCCGCTGAGTTCCCTCCTGGGGTGAGTTACCAGGGAAACCTCATGGGTGACTCGAAGCCAGGCGCTGAGCAGGCATTGAGAGGGGAATGAACGGGAGGGCCAGGGCAGGCGGGCAGGGGCCGTGCGGCCAGGCGAGGAGCTGAGGCCCTCTGGGGGGACGTGGAGGCTGGAAGGGGGGTGGGGACAGTGTTGGGGCCTGGATGCTGAGGGTGCCCACCCTGTGGCTGCAGCTGGTGGTCCTGCCTGGGGGCCAGGGCCCAGTCAGCGCCATGTCCAGCAGGGTGGAGCCTCCTCTGGTGAGACTGGACGTGCCCCCTCGGGCACTGCAGGCCTCTCGGGCGGGCAGCCCGGCTCTGACGCCAGATGCCACCGACGACGGTCACACCTGGCCCTGGCACACCCCCAGACGCATGTGTGCCCAGGGGCTGGGGAGGGCCACTGGCCAACGTCCAGCCCCAGCTGCGGGAAACGCGGCTTCACCCCAGACCGCCCTGCTCTGTGGGCCTGGAGGCGCCAGGTGCCCCCTGGTTCTGTGGCCACAGACCCCGGGCAGGGCGCCCCGTCGCCAGCAGACGCTCCCCCTCCTGCTCTGCGGTTGTGTCCCTGCTCCCCTGGGGTGGGGACCTGCCCTCTGTCCTCCATCACCTGGCGCCACAGGAGACCCGCCCAGAGGACCCAGGGGGTCAGCTGTCCACTGAGCGGAGCGGGCCCCGCCTGCCTCCTCCAGGAGGGACGGAGGCGCTGGCCCCGTCCCTGAGCACCGCGGCTTGGCGCCTCGTGTTAATTATTTGTGTCATTCATTAGGGACGGTGGCTACCTGGAGTGACCAGTGATCATGGACCAGCTCGGCTGCACCTCCCGGGAGGCACCCCAGAGGTGAGCTGCACACCTACTATGTGCCAGTGTTTAACTCAACCCTCAGGACGACCCTGGGGAGGGCTGGGGCTCTACCCTTGACCCCTTCCCCAGAATTGGGAGGTCAAGAAGGGCCAGGCGTCCACCCGGTCACGGGGCTGGGAGTGGCGCTGGGCCCTGGGCTGCCTGCGAGGCCTTCACCCCGAGGGAGCTGCTGYGGGGGGGCAGCGGGAGGCTCTGGGCGCCGTGGGGGGGAGCTGTGCCCAGCTCCGGTGCCCAGGCTGAGCTCYGCCGCCCTGGCTTGGGCTCCACAGCCAGGCACCCGACTGGGCACTGGCCAGCCCCGCAGTGGGCTCCTGATCCTGGGGCCTGGACAACTATGCACTGCCCAGGGCCAGGCCGAGGTCTGCCGGCCCCACGGCACGGGACCAGGCAGGAACGGGAGCTGGCCTCATGTGGACGGGCCTGTGGGCAGGGCTCTGCTGGGCAGCTGTCCCGAAGGGCTGACCCTCCAAGGCCCTTCCYGCCCCCTCTTCCTCTCTCCCCTGAGGGACCCGCGGGACACCTGCCGAGTCACCCCCRCCCCGTGTGACTCAAGGCACGGACAGGAGCCAAGCGATTCCCTGTTTCCTGGCCTCAGGCTGGAAGTCTCCCGCGCCCTGAAGCCCCTCTGTCCCCCCGACCGGCCAGTGACAGGGACACCCAGCACCTTTCCTGCTTTGCCTCTGCAGCCAGGAACCCCAGGTCGCGGGCAGCGGCAGCGGCTCCCACACCAGCGCCCAGCGCCACGGCTGGTGGGCTTTGTTCCCGAGCTGCACTGCCACCTCTCACCTGTGGTACCAGGACGGGGCCCACGGGCACCCGACCACGGAGCCCCCAGCCCTGTTCTGCGTTTTATGTAGAGACGGGGTCGCCCTCAGCCGCCCAGGGCCTCACGAGATGGCTGAGGCTGGCCTTGAGCTCGCGGTCCTCCCGCCTCAGCCTCCCGAGCTGCAGGGACCACAACCAGAGAGCCAAGCGCAGCAGGAGGAGCCAGAGAAGGTGCTCAGTCGGCCAGCACTGGCCGCGGTCACTCACCAGGCAGACGAGCTCTGGAAGGACATCAGCGGTGGGCTCTGGGCATCTTCCCGCAGCGTGTGCACAGCCTGGGGGGCCGGCGGCTGGGAGCCCGGGGGAGGCTGGGGCTGCGGGGCCGGCGGCCCTGGGCGGGGGGCGCGGGCAGGGCCCCCCCAGCGCCGGGGGCCCTGTTTCATCCAGCGGCCCCGCAGGCCCCAGCGCGCCAGGTGGACCTGGCAGACATTGTAGTTCATGGCCGAGTAGTAGAGCAGGTCCAGCAGCAGCAGCAGCAGCACGAGGAAGCCGTAGATCCACACCCCCAGCAGGGCCGTGTAGTTGCTGGGGAGAGACGGACGGACGGACGTGAGGCGGCCGGCCCTGGCCAGGCGGCCGGCACCGGGGGCACGGGCCAGGGCTGCGCGGGAGCTCCCGGCGGGCACCAGGCTCGGCCCCGCCCCCCGCCCCTTGGCCTTCTCCCGCGTCCTGGGCCTGCCCTGAGGACCCCAGGCCCCCACGCAGGCTCCGCCCACCCGCCGCCCCCCTCGGGCCTCCCTGTGGCTGGGCGGCCATTGCCGTCCCCGGCCTCACCCTGCACACACCTCCTGTCTCACCCCTGGGCAGCTGCGGAGCCTGGGGACACGGGGGGACACCTCACCCCCCACGTGTCATTCAGGGCTCGGCTCGGGGATCTGCACGGTGGCCTGAAGTCACGGTGCCCCCGTCCCGCCGTSCCCGGCCTTTCTGTCCCTTCCTGGGGGCCTTTCACTCTGGCTGTGTGGTGGGGGTCCCCACTGTTCCTTATTCATCCACCTACATCCACCCCCCACTGCGCACCAGGCCTGCACCCTCCTCTGGCAGAGGTGACGGGACTCCTGGAGGGCCTTGTGACCCGGTGCAGCCCAGGCACCCCCCCCCCTGGCCAGCGCCGGTCCCTGAGGAGCGCGGTCTGCCGGCTGCCCACACAGGGCCTTTGCACAGGCTGCGCTTCTGCTGCTCAGCTCTCCACAGGCCTTCTCCTTCCTCCCGTCAGCCCCTGGGAGGCCGCTAGCCCAGGAAGTCTCCAGGTGCCCGTCCYTCCTCTGGTCACCGCACCATTCCCCCACCCCTCCCTGAGGCTGGGGGCTGGTCCCCAAGGGTCGGCCGTGTCCTGGGCCCTGGTGCCACGGAGCCATGAGCAGTGCTCGAAGGGCCTGCAGCTGTTGGAGGAACCGGATCATCAGTCCCTCAAACGCCACCCACAGCTGCTCCCTGCTGTGGCACCTGCTCGGTGGCTGTGCCAGCAGCGCCAAGGAGGAGGGCTAACGCACACCCACGAGCAGAGTCGGGCCCAGCTGTTGCTCCCCAATCCCCAAACGAGGCCCCTAGGCACTGGGACCCCCCAGACCCCACTGAGCGGGACACATGGTGCTGTAGCCAGGGCCCTGGTTCTCACTCCTCCCCTGCCCGGCTTTGCTGTGTTTCCTGAGAGAACCGCCGCCCGTCTCTGGGCTGGAGGAGAGGCCACAGACTCCAGTCTCAGCTTTCAGGAGCTGGCTCTCTGCAGACCTGGAGCGGCCCTGGCTTCAGCGCCTCTGCAGGAAGAAGGCTGCTCCCCGGGACCCTGGGCCTCCCAGGGCTGGGCCAGGGCCAGGGCCAGGGCCAGGGCCAGGCGCCCTCTGCTCCCGGCCAGCAGTGCTCCCGCTCACTTGGCCACTCAGTTCTTGGACCAAGGACTCGCTGGGTGCCGGGGTGACAGGGAGGCGGCTGTGTCCCTACAGGTGTGTGGACCCCCAGGGCCGACGCTCCAGGCTTGGTGCCCACTGGGGGGCGGGGGAAGCAGCAAGTCGCTGTGGCCGGGTCCCCACCATGGCCACCACAGAGGGGAYGCTGGATTTTTCCGGAGGTCTCTAGTCAGAATTCCTGCGGGACGGAGCAGCATCGGGGCAGGAATGTGGGGCAGACAGGTGGCCACGCAGACAGGGGGCGGCCCGGCTGTCCCCCACGTCCTCTCTCCTGCAGCCCAGAGTGGCATCCCAGGGTTCCCACAGCAGCCGCGGGGCCGAGGGGCGGGGCGGGGAGGGGGCAGCTGTCCGCGGTCAGTCGCATCCAACAGAAGGAAGCCCCCGCACAGAGCATCGCCTGAGCCCCRACCACCCAGCCTGGAGCGCAGCACCCGGTTCCGGGAGCAAAGGGCAGCAGGTGCGTGGGCTCCTGCCCAGGCTGGGCCTCGCTGCCCGCCTGCCCGCACTGTGCCACCTCCTGTGCRCCCGGCTCAGCGGCCGCCCCCTCCAGGCAGCCTGCTGTGATGCTCCCAGAGTGCACTGCGGGCTCCGYTGTCCTGCAGAACTGTCCGCCCTTGGACACAGGGAGGCCCTGAGGGCAGCGCTGAGTCCCGYGGGTCTCTGTGCCCAGCTGTGGCCAAGTGGCCTCCATGCCAACATCCTCCTGGCGCTCGCTGACCGCGAGCAGCCACCTTAGCCGCTGTGAAAGGCCCGGGCCTTGCGCTTCTGAGTCCTTAGACGGCGCCGTGTGCCCATGTGCCAGGAGGGACGACCCGCTGACCGACRAGGAAAGACGCGGGAGAGACAGAGTCGCCTGCCGGAGGTGGCCCAGGGGCGGGAGCTGCTCGTCCCCGGGCTCAGGCCTGGGGCTCCGAGGGCTGGAGTTGAGTGTCACCGAGGGGTCTCCTGCCTCTGCCCACTGTGCCCACTGGCCCTGGCCCAGCCTCTGCAGAGACCGAGGGCTTGTTCCGCTTCTCCCTCCTCCGAGAGCTCCTGGCCGAGGGTCACCGTCATCGCGCTCCGTGGCCAGTGGCTGGTGTTGGCGTCCACCCGCTGCCCACCCGGCCCCTCCCTGCTGGTGCCGCCAGCACCAGGTCCCCTCTGCTGCCTGGGGGTGGCAGGCTGGGCCACCAGGTCACAGACCTGTCCCCGAGCAGCTCCTGCCCCTGTCCTGCCCTGGAGGTCGGCCAGCTGGGGGAGTCAGGCTGGTATGATTTTAAAAATCTAATTAAAAGTASGTGAGCTGGAAGCTAACTCCACCCKGATGCCRGTCTTGGTCGTGTGTGAGGAGCGGCCCAGGGTCAAGAGCAGGGGCTGCGCTCGGGGCAGACGCGAGGCCCGCAGAGCCAGGGACAGCGGCAGCTGGGAGTGCTGGGCACGGTCACTGAGTCATGGAGGAGTCCCCGTCTCCTGGGGCCAGAGCAGCTGTGCTCAGCCTGCGAGCACGCCCGGCCCTGYCCCGCTCCAGGGTCCAGGAGAGTCCTGCTGGGCCTGGCTGGGGGACGCGGAGGCCAGGGCACCAGGTTCAAACCCTGGTTCTGCAGATTCTCCCTGTGGAACTCAGGGAGCTGAGCGGCCGCTCCCTCGTCTGTGAAAGGGATCACTCTGCTGCCTGCTCCGTGGTGAAGCCGTGGGCCTCAAGGAAGGGCCTGGAAAGAGAACCCACTAAGCGCTGGCTCCTTCAACGAAGGCCCAGAGGGAGGCTGGAGAGGCCTCGGCCCAGAGAGGCACAGGGCTTTGCTCAAAGCCACACAGCAGTCGTGGCAGGGTCTGGCTTCGGGCCCAGGAAGCCCAGGGAGGCAGGCTGTTCCTGTCACAGTGTCCCCGCCACTCCCTGGGGGCATCTCAGAGGGGCACCCATGCCCCTCTGAAAACAGGCTTGGTCATGTGACCAGCTGGGCCRGGCACAGTCCTCGGTGCCAGGGAGGTGATCTCACAGCTTCCTGTCCAGGACTCAGGCCCACCATCAGGGCTGGGCGGGCCGGTGGGTGGCGGGATGGCGGTGGTCCATGCAGCAGGGCAGCTGCCACGGCCCCGCAGTAGCCCTGAGCCAGCGCCTGGCGTCTCCACCTGGGATGTCCCCGGGAGGCCACTTCCTCAGCCAGGGACACAGCAGGAGCCAGAAACAGCATTTGTCCCCAGGCCCCGGGACTCGGTGCTCATCACCCTTCGCTGAGCCGGGACCCTGGGACAGAGGAGCGGCCCTGCGTGTCCTTTAGTGCTGTGTGGCTCCAGGCCTCTTCTCACTGTCTCTGAGCCTCAGCCCCAGAGAGCGGGGCGGGCAGGGCCTCCTTCCCGTGCGTGGGCAGCTCTCTGCAGCGGCGGCAGCGAGTCAGGCCCCSACCGGGGCAGGTCCTCGGGATGCTCCTTCCCTTCCCTGGAGGCGGAGGGCCCTCGGGTCAGGAAGAGGGTTCTAGAAGCTCTCCAGTCTTCCTGCGTGTGGGGAGCGGAAGTTCGACACCCAGCAGGGCCTGGCAGGGTCGAGTGGGGGACAAGACACTCTGGTGACCTCTGACCCCACCCTGGGGCTGGACCCTGAGCTTGAGGCCTGTTACCAGGGACGCGAGGTGGCGTGGGGGAGGCTGGGACCCAGACATCGGGGTGCCCCCGACATGGGGAAGGAGGCCGTCGGGTGGGTCTCGCGGAGGTGGGGAGAGCCCTGCGCCCTGTGCCCGCACCCTGCACCCTGTGCCCATGCCACAGCAGCAGTGCCCAGGCCTCCGAGCTGTTCCCTGCCTCGGGGAGGGGCAGCTGCTGCCCTGGTGCCTGCCCACCTGAGCCCTGGGTGGAGGCCCAGGGTCGGGGGCCCGAGACCTGGGCGGGTGTCCAGCTGCCTGCCCAGGACGGCCTGAGCACCCCTGGCGTGGCCGGAAGGTGACATCGCTGCGGCGGGTGATGGGAGGCATCTGCCAGGGCCAAGAAACCCCTGTTCCTCCAGAGAAGCGCAGATAAAGGAGGCCTAGTGCCCCCTCCCYGGTCACCCTCTTCCCACTGACTCAGCCACAGGGACGGTGGGGGCCGCGTTCCAGCTGCTGTCCCTCTGGGCTGACYGCTGGCCGGGGTGAGGCCCTGGCAGGTGCAGGTCCAGGGCCCTGGGACTCCGGGCTCTGGCTGAGACCTGGTGCGAGCCCTGGAGCCCGACAGGTCCAGGCTCTCCCGACAAGGCCAGGAGCAGGACGGGGCTCCCACCCGGCTCTAGCTGTCACCTGGGACAGGTGAGCTCACCAGCCTCCACCCGACTGGGCTCTCTTCCTCCCAGAGCGGCTGCTAGAGGCTGGGGAGAGCGCACCCCAGAGGGCCTGCGACCAGGTGTGCCCAGGGCTCTGCAGGGCAGGATGGCCACAGCCCAGGTGGGCTCTGCCTGTTCCTGGGGCACACGCAGGCCCCGTCCCCACCGTCTGGTGACAATCTGATGCTGGCTCCCACCTGAGACTCCCCAGCTGCCCCTCTGCCACCAGCCCACCTGGGCTTGGCCCACAGTCCTGGAGCCCAGGCAGCTGGACAGGGGCTCCCGAGGCCCTGATCCGTCCCCAGGTCGTCCCTTGTGGGGCCACAGCCCCAAGCTGTCCTTGGGCCTCTGGTCACCCCAGGTGCTCAAGGGCCCCCTTGTCCCGTGCGTGCACCGTCCTGGAGGCACAAGGACAGCTCAGAGCCCTCCTGGCCCCAGGTTCCCTCAGGAGAGGGTCCCAGCACCTCCGCACCCCAGGAGGCCCTGCCACCCCGGGTCCCCAGTCACCCCTGAACTTCCTGCAGGGATCTCGGGTGGAGGCTCCTGGGCCGGGGGCTCCMGCCTGCCTCTCAGCACACTGGACGCCCCGGCCTCCCTCCAGGACGCAGAGTGCGGGTGGGTGGAGTCCAGGTCTGTGGGGGCTCACCACACCAGGCCTCCCACCCCCAGGGAGGAAGGGGGCAGGAAGACGCTGGAGAACACAGGAGCAGGGGTGCGCGGGCCACCCGCACCGTGGGTCGAGGCCGGGACGGTGGGAGGAGGGCTGCTGGCATCTGGTGGGAGAGGCCGGCCTGCCCCACAGCCCAGGACATGCAGGGCAACAAAGAATGACCTGCCCAAGGTCCGGGAGGCCGGCACAGCCCTGTCTGGGCCTCTCCCCGCTGGGGTGGGTCTGCCTCCACCCGCGAGGCTCCAGGATTCCCAGGCAACTCCAGGCCTCCCGGGCTCCACCACGCGCCTTCCCCAGGCAGGTGGCTCACCTGCTCTGTGCCCATCTCCCCCAGTGTGACATGGCTAAGGACGGGTGGCCGCTGAGGCAGGCGGGAGTGTGGGCGCAGAGCCTGCCCGAGGCGCTCCCTGGGCGCTTCTTAAGGTCGAGGAGTAAAAGCGCAAGTTCAAGTTCCAGTTCCCACGTGTCCCGTCCTCTCCACAAAGGCCTTCCTCTGGTCCAGCTGCTGGCGAGCAGCCAGCGGCCCCGGGGTTGGAACCGTGGCGTATTCCACGTGCAATCCCGGGAASTGTGCAGATTATAGAAACCTGTGGGCTCCGGAACAAGGATCCCAGGCGCCAGGCGCCAGCCCCTGCACAGTCTGGTTTGTTGCCAAGCCTCCGAGAGGCTTCCACGGCCCCCGCAGCCCCTCGGGGTCCTGACCCCCGTCCTGGCGCCGCTCTGCTCCCTCACGAATTAGCCCCTGTTCTTAGAAAAGGCTCGGGTCAAACTGCAGRCCTGGTTCCAGTCCCGCTGTGACGGACGGGGCTCGCGCAGCGACTTCACACACAGAATTATTCTAAGGCCTGAGCAGATGGCAAGATATTCAGGGGAAGCCGTGCATTTGAGGAAGGCAGGATGGGGAGCTGGCCTGGGGGGAGGAGGGGAGTTGGCATCTCCTGCCCAACCAAAGGGAGGACGCAGCTTCCCCCTGAGTGAGCACAGCATGATGCAAAGCCCTGGGAGTCCCCGCGACAGACGGAGAGATGGAGGCTCAGCTCCCAGCCCACTGCCCCCAGCGGTCCTGCTGATCCCTTCACAGCGCTCCACAACCACCCCTTTCAAGCCCATGTCTCCTGAGAGCCAGCCTCCTGCTTTCTGGGAAAATATCTGAAGCATCTCATGAAAGTTAGGAGGAAGGTAAGAAAGAATGCCTGACCCGTAAAGAGGAGCCRACACCGTTGTTTTAGAGGTACTCGCCAACACACTTGGACAAGAAAAAAGAAGGGAGGCACGCTCGTTAGAAAGTAGGAGACAAAATCATCCTAACGGGAAACCCAGGAGAATCAACTGGAAAAGTGTGACAAAGATAAGACATTTTAGTAAGCTGGCTGAGTACGAAATTCACAAAATTCATAAATAGAAATGATTAGCTTTTATCACCTTTATCATCTGAGCAGTCAGAAGACAGGGTAGAAGGAAACACCTTATTTATAATAGCAACATGAAAAGAAACAAGTAGGAGTAAACGCAAAGCTTATTGTACAACATCTCTACGAAGAAAACTGTGAAGGGCTATGAGGGAAAATGCGAACCCATAGAGATGTACTGTGTCCTTGGAGATAAACAGTCCACATATGAAAAGTCATTTCTTGGCTTCACCTATGAATTCAAAATGAGCTCAGTTCAAAATCATGATTAGGTTGGTGGGGGTTTTTTGTTTGTTTGTTTGTTTCTGTTTCTTTGCAGAACTACACAAGCTAATTCAAACGTTCATATAACCAAGAGCCCGGCGAATAAGCCGAGATGTGAAAACATACTAAAGATCACCGTCGTTAGTAGAGTGAGACACTGAGACACCAGCCAATGGATCACGGAGAGTCTCACCATCTGCCTGACACTCCAGTTTAGCACATTATGGTACATGATATTTGCACTTTACACCAGCAGAGAGGAGATGGACGGTTCAGTGAATGGTGTTGGAACAAGTGGCCTCCCCATTTGGGGAAAAAAAAAACAACACCAGTAATAATGAAATTGAATTCCTAGCTCAAAACTTATATCAATATAAGTCTTTTGATATAAATGATAGATTTTTTTWAAAAAGAAAGTAAAACATAAAAGAAGTAGAGATGACATGGGGGGATTTTTAATAACCCCATTAGGGAAATCCTTGCTCATTATGATATAAAACCCAGAAGTCGTAAAAGAAAAAAACTGGAAATACTGTGATTGCATAACAATTAAAATTAAGTATGAGAAAAAAATCACCAAATCAAAGGCACAACACGAAAATTTTTCTTCTCATATATAAAGAATTCCTATAAATAAATAAAAAGACCAAAATGCAAAGGGACACGTTCAGGTAGCTCACAGTGACAAGCACAAACGGCCCTCTCGTGTGAAGATGCTCAGTGAGGTCCACAGTAAAAGGCCGTTTTGATCTTCCAGGCCTGGACTTAGCCATCCCCTGCTTCCCCCTGCCATCTCTGCTCCCATACCTCGGTCCCCCCTTCAGGAGCCTGATCTCAATGTGTCTTCATCACTTAGGGGAGGACTGCAGGGTCCACCTCTGAGTCGATGGTGTCCATCCGTATGATTGAACAAGGCTGAATGAACGCGGGGACTTGGGCCCAGGGACTCCAGGCGCTGGCACCTGCTCTACCTGAAACTCTGCACACGACCCCAGGGAGCCTCTAGCCGGCCTGAGAGTGGGCGTGGCACTCGGGTTTCTCAGAGGGCAGGCCCTGGAGGCTTCGTGGGTCTGCCTGGGCCCCTCCCCGGGGGTCACGCTCCCCGGGGTCACGGTGCACCTGCCCTGGGGCTGGCTGGAACTCACTTGTGCATGTAGCCCTCGGAGCTGGCCGTGAGGTTCGCCTGCATCACCGCCTGGAACTCAGACTCGTTGCAGCAGTATTTGAAGACCGTGTTGTTATGGTGACAGCAGAGGATGAAGGTTTTGTTGTCAGAGAGCCGGGGGCAGTGGAAGCCAAAGTGGTAGCGGCCCTTGTGGTCCGTGTACGGCTCGCAGACCCGGAAATGCGCGGAGGAGACTGCAAAACAGGTCRCCAGATTTGGTGGGACCCCGGCCACTGTGCCCAGGGGCAGGATGGGCAGCGGTCCAGTCCTGCTGGCCCTCCCCCCCCCCGGGAAGCCTGCTGGCTCTTTTCTCCCAGAAGCCCTGGTTGTGGACTCTGAGGCCAGGGACTTGGGGCTCCTCCAGGGAAGAGCCAGGGCCCCCTCGCGGGGACCCCTCCAGCAGCTAGAARCACTCACAGGAACTGAGCGGCCACTCTGCCCTCCCAGGCCCATCCCGTCTAGTCCAGCGGCCACCCTAGCAGGTGGGCTTGGGAACCCCCCTTTACAGACAGGGAAACTGAGGCTTAGAGGCCTGCAGTGACGCGGCTGCGCTGGGAAGCAGGGGAGCAGGAATGAACCCAGGCCTGCTTGGACTCCACCGGTTCCTGGGTGGGGCCACTGCAGACAGGCTGGCCCCTGGGGTGAGGGGCATGGAGGAGACTGGGTTCTAGCAGCAGCCCCTCCAGCCAGCGGTCCTGCCCACCTGCTGCCCTGCCCTGCCCAAGGCCTCCCAGGCTCCCTCCCCACTGCAGGGAGCCAGCACTCTGCTCTCCCACCCCCAGCTCCGGAGGGAGGCCGGGTGACACACAGGAGTACAGGCTGAACAATGGAAGCCCTGGAGCCGCTGCCTCARGCTTAATTAGTATCTTCATAAAAGGGATCCTGTATCTAATTTGTATCGCTGAAAAGGGGCTTCGCGGGCTGAATGCGCCTCTCCAACCACGAGGCACTGGCTCTGCAAAGCCTCCGCCAGCCAGCGAGCTGGGAGCTGTCTGCCTGGGAGCTGTCTGCCGAGGTTACTAGGCTGCACCCACACTCACCCCCAGGCTGTGCCTCCGGGGAGGCCAGGAAGGCGTGCCTCCTGGGAGGCCAGGAGGGGCTGGGCTGGCAGGTGGGCGGCGCCCCTCAGGCTCCCGGTGCAGAGGCTGGCTGGGGTGCCCCCACTCAAATTCTGTGCCCCTTCCCTAAAGGACAGCACCCTCTTCTGCGGGTGGAGCACAGGGGCCTCTGGGCTCCCTTGACCCCCTTGACCTTGGGAAACCGTTCTCCCAGGACGCAGAGGTGACTGCACATGCCCAGATGGAGCATCTGCTGACAGAGATCATGGATTCCACTGAAGGGAGGGCAAAGTGAGGCTCAGGGCAGTGGGCCCCAAGGCATGGTCCCTGGCCTGGCCTGTCGCACCCCTGGGGACTTGTCCCAAAGCAGATTCTCAGGCCCCTCGTAGTCCTTCCAGATCAGCTCTGGGGCACGGCCCTCAGTCTGTCCAGGAAGCCCACCAGGGATGCCATGGGCTAGGTGGGACCCCAACCTGGCGGAGCCACAGGCCAGGGCCAGAGCTGAGGGTGGCCGTGGCCATCAATCCTGCCTCGGTCCCAGTCCATTGGGAAGCCCTGCCGTGGCTCTACTCACACCTGTTTGTGGGCAGCTGGGAGGGACCAGCTAGCCAGAGGCCATGTGCTAGCCAGAAAGACCGGCCCAGGCTCTGGGACAGGCCCCAGAGCTGCCACAGGACTTGGGGTGGGCAGGGCGGCAGGGAGGAGCTGGCCTTGAGGGGCCTGGACACCTTGGCAGGAGCCAGGGGTGTAGACACAGGGTTGGCGGGGGCTGGCCCAGCACATAGAAGGGTCCTGCCCTGCACCTAGCTCACAGTGTCAGCACCGCTGGACAGTCAGCGCCACCGGCTTTGGCCACTGGCGGCCACCAGGAAGCCCTGCAGCTCCCTGAGCCGAGGGAGCCCTGGGCTAGGAGCCAGGACTGCTGGAGCGTCCCGGGGCTACCTGGCCCCTCGGCCCCCTCCCCTCCCTGGGGAAGGCAGGTTGGCTCCCCTGTGGGCCAGCAGCAGGCTGTGCTGGCTCAGGGCAGTGCCCTGCTCCCCTCCTCACACAGCAGGAGTTGACGGGCAGCTGCTTCCTGCTCAGAGTCCTTTCCTCATTTGTAGGAGGAGGCCAGAGGTTCTTCTGCCCCAGGGGACAGTGAGGACCAGAGGAGCCCATGCATGGGGAGCCCCTGCCGGGGGACCCCCACTCCCAGCCCCTCCTGGCCTCCCTCTAAGCTGTGCCCAGCAGCGTGGTGGGGGCTGGAAACCACCAGGGGACATCAGTGGCTCAGAGAGAAACAGAGTCGGAGGCAGAGACAGTGGACAGAGGAGGAGCAGGAAGGACAGGAAGCCTCCGGCAGAGCGGCACTGGCCCTGCTCAGAGCGGGCGCTGGCTGATGTGCTGGGCCGCCCTTCTGCTGAGGGCAAGGGAGGCCTCTCTGGTCAGCCCCAGCTCGGAGCGGTGCATGCCCATCTTTGTAACTGGGAGTCTGATAGGGGACATCGTGGGGAGCTGGTGTGGCACCYGTGGGGTGGCCCCAGTACCGGGGCTCTGCCTGGGCCAGGTTCCCAGCCCCAGCCTGCTGTATTGGCTCAGGCAAGTGTGCCCCAGCCTCAGGGTCCTTATCTATACCGCGGGCGACCTGAGCTGCTGGTGGACGGGTAGGGCTGTGCGCAAAGGCCCCTCGGACTCTCCCTGGAGCACCCGGGCGAGGGAGCAGGGTGCTGTGCACAGTAGGTCCTCACCGCCCGCCATGGGCGTGAGCTGGTCGGAGGGCACCAGGGCGGCGCCCGGCTGGCCCCGCTGACCACGCCCCTCCCGCCCGCCTCCAGGGTTTACCTGCGGAGAACAGCAGGGACAGGAGCAGGGCGAGCCGGTTCCGGGACCGCGGGCCACAACTGGTCATCGTTTGGCTGGCATCGATCCGTGCAGCGCCGCCGCCTGTTTAATGAGACCCGGGGGAGGCTGGGTGTGGGCGGCCGGCTTTGTCGCCGGCGGGGACCTGCGGCGGGCGCAGGGCGGCGAGGGTGGAATCCAGCCATCCAATTTCCTCTCCGGAATGAACGGCCTTCCCACCCGTCACCTGTCACCTCCTTTTCTTTTCACCGCAAAATGAGACTGAATCAGAGGAGGACGACGGCTCAGGTGGTGGAAATAACCCGCGGACCGCGCGTCCCTAACGGGGACTTCCATTAACCCCTGGTCCGAGGGCGAGCACCGGGCAGGGGCTCCCAGGCCCTGGGGACACGGCGGGGACTAAAGAGAAGCCAAACAGCACCAGGCAGAGCCGTGTGCCTTCCGCGAGGACAGCGACGAGCCACACAAACAAATGAATATTTAAAATGCCACGAGGCTCGGAGCTCGCCCGGCGCTGGGAGCAGGTCCCCGCCACCAGCTCCTCCTAGAGCTGAGCGGGAAGGTTCCCGGGACTCCCCGGAGGGCGGGACAATGGGACACAGCGGGGACACACAGTTCAGCCTTAAGAAAGCAGGGGATTCTGACCCTGTCACAGGGCAGATGGACCTGGGGACCTTGTGCTCAGGGAAGCAAGCCGGTCACAAAAAGGGCACGCACTGGGGGGCCCCACTCGCCTGGGGTCCCTAGGCGAGTGGGGTCCCCAGGGCTGCCCCTGCCAGGTGGGGGCCCTGGCCTGCGGGCAGGACTGCACAGCCCCTCCCTGTTGCTCACAGAGAAGACTCCCTCTGGTCAGTCCTGGGTCCACTCGGGAGGCCCTCACTGAGTGTCCCCGAAGACAGTCTGAGATGAACAGTTGCAGAGACGCAGCTGACCACCGGCTCTGGAAGAGGAGCGGGGAAGGGCAGCCGATGCCCAGCTCAGACTGTCCCAGAACCCCGCCCTCGGCTCCTGGAGCCCGGTCAGGGAGGGCAGAGGGCCACCAGGGGGGCGGAGGCAGCTCTGCATCCTGTGGGCAGTCAGCCTGCAGGACCGGCAACCGGGGAGCCACTCTGACACCCAGAGGTGGGAAACCAGCACAGGTTGGAACCCAGGCTCCCAGCCTTGACCTCGGCCGGCCACAGAGCGGCACCAGGGGCCTGAGCCACGGGGTGCCCACCCCAGGAGGTGTGCCAGGACGGGGGGGGGGGCTGACCGCAGAACACCCCTGGCTGGCAGCCTTGGCATCGAGACTCCTGGTGGTGACGTGGGGTGACGGGGAGGGGGCCCCTCAGGTCTGCACAGCGCAGAGCCTCCCCTCCCACCTGCCCTGCAGCTCCCCAGGCTGAGAGCCGCTTAATTGCTCTGAGCCTGGCCTCCCCTGCCTCCCGTGCCTTCCTGGCCTCCTGGGAGGCCGAAGGAGATTAAAGCATCTGAGTGCTTAGGAGAGATCTCCTTTCAGGGAAACCGCAGGATCCACCCTGGAAATACGCCGAGCCAACGGAGCCCTGGGCCCAAGATGACCACCCGCCTGGGCCCCAGCCTGGGCCCCACYTGCAGACCGGAGAAGCTGGGGCTGGGGGCGGAGTCAAGTCCCAGGCTCCAGGACCCATAGGGTGGGGCTGCCCTCATTCTGATCAGGGGCTCAAGTCCAGGAGCTACTGGGCCAGTGGGTGAGTGACCCAGGTCCACCTGCACCAGGGCAGGGCTTCTTCCTGCTGCTGCCACTCCCTACAAAGTCCACTGCCTGTTTTTGGGGGGTCAGTCACCCTGGGGCGCCATTCTGCAGCAGCTCAGTCAGAAGCTGCTCAGATGCCACCTCCTCCAGGAAGCCCCCTTGACTCTGCTGCCTAGAAGCCCATCCCTCCCCCGGCCTGTCTGTGGGTTTCCAGTTGCCCCTCCTCCCTCAGCAGCCACCTGCCACCTCCAACTCAGCCAGGCTCCCACTGGGTTCTAGGGACATGACAGAGGAGAGTCCTTGTCCCCTGGCTGTGCGTGGAGGGTGCTCACCAGCCCCACCCATGACCCCACAGGCCCTGGCCAGAGCAGAGGGCACGGCCCAGTGTCAGGCCTGGAGGGCACCCAGCCAGCCCCAGGCCTCCTTCTGTGGCGCTGAGATCACAGCCACCTCAGAGCCTGATGCCAGGTCACCCACGTCTAACTCATCCGAGTGCAGCCATCCAGCCTGGGCACTGCTCCCCGGCTCTGCAGGCCGACAGGCCCCTGTCCACCTCATGCCGGGCCTGAGTCGGAGTGTCAAAGCCACCACCCGCCTGCTGGACAGCGGTCACTGCCCAGGCTCCCGAGGGCTGGAGTACCAGGGCTGCAGGCAGAGTCGTGGGGAGGCCAGTCACGTCCCGTCCCCTCTGAGCCAGAAGGTGGCTGCAGACACCCCCAGGGCCCCAGGGCCAGCCTGGTCCTAGACGGTCACTGCCTCGGGCCACACATTCCCTGCCCAGTCACAAGACCAAAGCCATGGCCTGGGCCCTCTGCGGGGCCACAGAGGACCTGGGTTTGGGGACCATGAACACTGGGACTAGGACATGTCACACAGCCGGGCACCCCACCCAGGACCTGCCACAGGTGACGTCTGCTCTACGGGACCCTCACATCTACTTGCTGCCCAGCCTGCTGGGCCCTGCTTCTGGGTGCTCAGAGCCCCTGGGGGCTGCCCCTGGAGGCTGCCATCCCCTGGCTGTTTGGTGGGTGAGCTGGACACTGTCCAGTACCTCACTGTTACCTCCGCGAACCCCACGCAGCCCCAGGAGGCAGATCATCTCAGAAAGGAAGAGACTGAGGCTCAGAGATGCAGAGTGACGTGCTGGAGCTCACACAGCCCTTGGCTGCAGGCAGGAGGCCAAGCAGGCTCCAAAACCACTCAACCTCCCAGTGCCCCAAAGGCGTCCCAGGCCCCCAGGCCCCCAGCAAGCGCAGTGAGGTCTGTCTTCCCGGGCCACCTGAGATGGCAGCTCCGAGCCCACCCTTGGAGAGCTGGAGGACACTCTGCCTCGCGGGCTCCCTGGGCGCTCTCGACCTGGAATCACGAGTCCGGCCGCATCTCTGTGGTCCGCCGCCCGGGTCAGCCGGGGACTGCTGTTCTGAGGTTGGAGGGTTATTTTTAAACACCAAATTTGGCAAGGCTGGGAGCCGGGGGAGGGCGTGTGGACAGCAGCGGAGCTGGGAGATGAATTAGACCCTCGGGGACGGGAGGTCCCTGGCACATCAGCCAGGCCACCAGGACCGCGGGGAGGAACCCTGGGGCAGGGCCCCACTGCCTGGTGGGGGGTGAYGGGGACACCATTGGCCTGAAGCTCTGGCAGCCTTGGGGTCTCCTGCTGCCCCTCCTCAGCCCACCCTGCCTCCTGCCTCCTTGGCTGGCCAAGTGCATCTCCTCTGGCGGGGACCACCCAGGGCTGCCAGGCCTGGGGCTTGGGCTGCTCTGCCTGAGGCCAAACCCATGTGACCTGGGTGAGCCACCGAGTCCCAGAGTCCTCTGTGCTGGAAGGGGCTGATGGGGCACGTGATCCACAGGCGCCTGTGTGACAGCTGAGACGGGGTGCCGSAGCCTCGCCCTCATGGAGCCCACCTGTCCTACCAGCTGGCCTCTACCTCTGCGGTCCCAGGGTGGCTTCCCAAAGTGCCTGCCTGCTCACCCTGCTTAGGAGGTCCGGCCTCGCCCACCCCAAGGCCTCCAAGCACAGCCTCACCCTCTCTGCTCCTCCAGCTTCAGCCTCCAAGGCCCGTGGCTCCTCTGAGCCTTTGCACGTTCTGTTCCCAGCTGTGCTCGGTGCCTGAGGCTCCACCGGGGAGCCCACCCCAGGCCTCTCCTCCGCACCCCGTGGCTCCTGCAGGGGGCTCCCAAAACGCTGGCCCTCCCCACCCCCTGGGCCRACTTGATCTGTGTCCTCATTCCAGAGCCACTCTGAGAAGGGCACATGGGAGCAGGGGTCAGGGACAGGACACTGCCCCAGGGGCATGGTCCTCTTCAGACATGAGCCACACTGGCCCTGGCCCTGAATTTTCTAGCCCYGGGGACAGAGAAGGACACAGGCTGGTCACTGTGGAAGCCCCAAGCCACCTCGCCCCCCTCCCCAGGGCAGGGCGGGAGGCCAGGGGAGGTGAAGGTCCTGCCCGGGCACCTGGGCTCTCAGCAGCTGGTGGCGCACTCCAGAGCCTGGGCCTGGCGGGGAGTGGCCCTCTCCCAGGGGCCTTCCCTAGCTGGCCCTGCCGCTCTGCCACTGTGGGCCGAGCGGCACGTCACACAGGACTGGAAAGGCTCCCCAGCCTTGGGACCTGTGGCCTGGGCAGGGTGGGGACGGTCATCATGCCAGCCACATGATGCTCAGTGGCCAGACTTGCAGGACTGTCAGTGACAGTCATGTTGGCGTCAACGTGGACRAGCATTCAGCATGGACAGCAGGTGCCCATGGGTGTGCAGGAGCCTCACACGGGCAGGGACTGGGACCCGGCTGCTCTCCCCCACTGGCCCCTTGGCCTCGCACACCGTGGACTGCCCTGGCCGGCACGAGCAGGCCCCGGCCCCCAGGCCGCCCTCTCCCSACACCCCTGGTGACAGTCTGTTTTCAGGACGACACGTGCGAGGAGGTTATGAAACGTCCCTGGAATGCGAGGTCCAGGAATAAACACTGCTCAACTCGATGCTGCCTGAAGCAAGATCAAAGCTTGTCCCTGTGACCCCCCTGTGCTGGCAGGAGGCAGCCGCCGGAGGAACTGGGACACGTCCCCTCACAGCGCTGGCTGGGGCCAACATCTGAGAAACAGACACTGGTCAAAGCCACCTGGCCACCTGCTGTCGGGTGTGAGGGACGGGATGGGGCCTCGCGCCTAGCGCAGCACCCTGAGCCGAGCCCTGTGGCCCCCAGCCTGGGTCACTGGCGTGACCACGGAGCCAGCCCTGCCGAGCCCACTCTGCTTTTGCCCGTTGCCTGAGCAGTGGGGGCGGGGCMCAGGTGGGCACTTGGTGGACGTGCTGGGCCGCTGGAGTGACCGTGGGCACGAGCGTCTCTGTTTCGCTGCTCAGAGAGGCG